AAATGTGGGGCTTGATGTAAATGCTCAATGATAAAACCAATGGTCAATGAAGTAAAAAATTGGCCAGTCTAGCTTGCCTCCACCTGACAGGTAGTAGAAAGTCATAGTGTGGATCTAGAATAGAACTTCTGATTACTTATTTAAAGAAAAAAATCATTGTTTATTTTGTATTTCATAAAAAAATTTGTCAAATAGAGTTACTCATATAATTACCCAAAAATGGAGAGAACAGTTCAGTGAATATTAATGTTTGAATATAATAGATTACTCTAAAGTCATGAATATTAAAGACACAAATCAAATATTAATTTAATACCTGTTACATTTTCAAAATCATGCTGATGTTTTGCATATAGAATTTTATATAATCTTTACATATGCATGAGGCAGGTGCTAGTATATTATTGTTATTTGCACACATGCACACAATCAGAAAAGTTCAGAAATTGTGACAATGATAGAACATGACATTCCTGGAAACAAATTCAGAATTATGGTTCCCCAAAATAAACATTTTCTGTAATATCATAATTTTCTTTTGAAAGTTATAAGTATAGAATCTTGGGAATTTAATAACTTAGATTATAACATGATACACTCCAAAAAGATGATTATAAATATACATAAGCAATACCATGATGTTGTTCAAAGTCTATCTTCTAAATATTATTGTTCCAAATGATAGCAAGGACCCATAGAGAAGTGCTCAATTCTTGAGCTAAGGTGGGTGAGGAAAATACAAGACACCAGAGGGCATTAAGTGGAAAAATAAAATAATTTTTAAAAGAAAGGGACATGTGAAAAAGCAAAGTACCCAGGACATAATTTGATGGTTCTATTAGCAAAGCTAGAATAATTTCAGAAAAAAAAATGATGATAGTATCGGATAATAACCCCCCCAAAAATCAATATTAGGCCAGGTCAATAGTTCATGCCTGTAAACCCAGCAGCTGGGGAGGCTGAGACAGGAGGATAATGAGTTTAAAGCTAACCTCAGCAAAAATAAGCAACTCAGTGAGAACCTGTCTCTAAATAAAATACAAATGGGAATGCAGCTTAGTGTTTGAGTGCCCCTGAGTTCAATCCCCGGTACCTTCCCACCACTTAAAAAAAATCATTATAAGTGTTTATATTATTATAAACAAATAACTGAATAAAGAAGTATATAGGGAAGAAATATCAACCATTCTTCACAGAATTATTTCAGTTAATGTGTGTTAACAGAATAAGAAAATAGGAACAATCTACCAAAATACCATAGCAATTGCTATAGGTAGCAGACAGACAAAGGGGAAAAGTTGTAATAGAATATTTGTAGAGTCTAAATTATCTCCTCCTAATTTTTTTTTCATTACAAGGAAAAAATAACATCTTAATAATGAAGAAGTGTGGCAGACACTACATTGGCTAAGTTGTCAAGATTAATGTCACAAATAATATCACTTATCAACACCAAATACCCTGTCAATAGATGAAAAAACCATATGTATAATTTCTTACAAAGTTTGAATGACCACAAATAATTATGAGAAAATATCAGGTAAACTACAGTTGAGAAACATTCTATAAAATACTTTACCAGTGCTTCTAAAAATATATCAGAGTTGTGCAAGGAAAAGGAGAAAATATACATCCCAACCATAGTACATGAGACTTAGGAGAGATAACATTAATTGTAACACAGTACTATGTGTTAGATACTGAAAGAGAGAGAGAGAGGGAAAAAAACACTTTAGTAGAAAAACTTGTGAGATTAAATGTTCTGTAGTTATATAATTGTATGATGCTAAAATTTTTAATGCTAATTATTTTACTGTTGTTATGTTATTATTTAGATATTAATGTCCATGTAGATAGTAAAGCATATATACAAACTTTTTAAGTCTAAAACATTTAAATAAAAGGTTAGAAATACTTAAATTATAACATTCAAGTTGGACAAGTTAGCTATGGATTAAATTGAGCCAACAATCATACTATGTTCATTTATTCTCTAATATGGACATTGATATCCATATACCAGTTTTAGTTTAGTGACCACTTATTTGTTCATCAAGTATCAGATAAGTTAATAATGTAGACAAATTTTGAAAATTGAAAGAAGCAATTAAGGTGCAATCTCATTGTCATATTTATAGTTCACATTAAGCTAAGTGGTTCTCCTCTAACTTTTCTTAAACCAATGCCTATTGAATGGATACATAAGAGAATGAAATTAAATTTGAGATTTCAGGTGTACAGCACAACACTTTCAAAGTTTTGTTTTCTCAAGATGTAGGTTTTAGGAGAATATATATTGCATCATTTATTGTGTCCTACTATATGATTATGTTGATTATTAGGAAGAAATATGTCATATCTATAAGAGCTTCTATTTATTTTAATATATCCAATATGACAGGGAAGATTAAAGAATATTTTCCCTACAAATGGAAGTCTACATGGAGAATTTGCATATTCCATTATCATAGTACTGAATTTTTTAAAAAATAAAGAAGATGATATTATAATCACACTAGAAGAAATCAATTAGACAAGTCTAATGAGATCCTTCTAAATTAATGGTTATAAATGCATAGTCCATGCTCTGGGCCATTTTGAAAATTTCACTTTTAGTGGCCAACATCAGAACTAAGAAACCAACTCTTTATAATTATGTTGTCTAAGAAGCTGCTTTAAAACAAGCAAACGAAAATTGTAAAATAATGTGATTCAGCTTTTAAGAGTATTGACCTATCATCTGAGCATCAAACTGAGACCACAAGTTTTACATTTTCTTCAGATTTTTTACTTGTTTTCTGAGATCATATTCTATTCTCAGCCAATGCTTTTTTGTATCTATCGTTGCATGCCATCTATTACAAATCACTGAATGCCTGTGTTAAATCTGTACACTATTTGGTAGCATGGATACAATCCTAATTTCAGCATACATTAACAACAGTAAGTCAGTGAACAGAAAAACTGGATTCTTGCAGTAAGGTATCTGGGAAGACCAAGTAGAGACAGAGTTTATTTGAGATTCTGTAGCACAGTGTGTCTCATAGATTATAATAAGGAGGTAATGTTTAAGTGTTTCATGTACATTTTTACTGATAAGATCAAGGTAAATATTTTCAAAACTTGATACATTTTTAAATATGTCCAAGGCTGTATAAATGAAATAAATGTAAGTGAGGAACTTGCATCTATTAATGTTTTGATTTGAGATGTTTTCCAGACATATTAGGTTTGACCTCAGGGTACAATTAAAATACAAACCACAAGAGAGCAAAGACGTTAATTGATGAAATTATTTATGAGGTGAATTTAAGAGTTTGAGAAGGTGATAATTCTGCTAGAAGTCTAACACACTGGATTGCAAAAGAAAATTCTTTGTTGTGGGACTTCTTTAGAAGTACACCAGGAAAAATAAACAAAAAACCTAGTCCTGATCATGAATGAGATTTGAACTGAAAATAAGTCTTAATTTTTAAGAAGGACATGAAAATAAATATCTTGGTTAATTTGTCTTTTCCTTCTAATCTGTCAATGGAAGATAACACATAGAATATCCAGTACTATCATCAATAATATTTTTATCAATATTATAATATTGATAAGGGTTAATGATAAAGGAAATATAGTTCTTTTCTAAATAATAGCAGTAGCAGCAGCACCAGTAATAGGAGATACAAGTCCCTGTACTGACAATTCATGGAACTCAGTATTTTGGATGATGGAAAGATAACAAATGTAAAAATAGGTGGAAGATAGCTAAAAGAGAAGGGTTCTTCCTTAGGTGACTGAATCCTAGGTAAGTCTAAGTCCTCTCCTTTCCATAACTCTGAGTGTGTATGTATATGCATTATGTGCAGCTTTCTCATGCTGAGAGTTCTCTTTATCTTTTATATATTTACATCATCAAGTAGGTGTTAAGAAAAGTGGTTTTAGTGACTGGCAAAACAATATTTCTACATTGAACAAGGACTTGTTGAATGAATATGTAGGACCACTTGTGAACATGGTACACACTGAATGATCAAGTGTCTTTAGTTTACTGTGCTACATGTCTGAAACAAACTTGTTTTAAGTGTGCATGCTAGTTTCAATTTTTTTTATTTATCATATATTTAGGTCAATTTAATTAGGAAAATATGATTCTACTTTCTGTGAGATCACCGTTAAATGCTTGGGTTTAAGAGTTTGTAGCCTTCTTATCACTGATGTGGAAACAAATATTCCACAGTGAATTTGTCATTTCCTGAGGTTATGTATGCCTTATCTTGGAAACAAGCCTGCTTTGTATTTATACACATAAAACAATTTGAACTACATTATAAATTAAAGTCCTCAAGTGGTCCTAGTTCACCAGCAGTGACAAGGGGTAAAGACAGCAAAAAGAATATTTGGACTTCTATGTAATAGTAAAGGATCTTTCTAATTTTCCTTTACTATTTACTATTTCCTAGCCAGGCTTTATTGAGCCAAAGAGATTATTAGATGTATCCATCTGAGATTTTATTAAGATCCTACAATTATCTTGTAAACTAGCTATGAGATGCCAAGAAAATAAGACTTCAATTAAAAAATCATTAAAGTCAAAAATTATAGTTTTCTTTCCTAAACCAGCTTTAATTTTTTTAAGAAAACAATACAATTAATTCTAGTAAATAAATTACTAAGTATAGAATTTGGGACCTAATAGTAGTCTTAGGTAGAAGTGGTATATTTATAGAGAAATCTTTTTACATCATGACAGGCAATTATTTTCCACAGTGCTACCAAGTCTACTTAATGATGAATTAGATTTTTTTAAACCAGGTCTGCCAGCTCTGTAAATAATAAAACCCATGTATAAGTCACAACTAACTTGCTATCACTAAATATTTATGTTCTACTCACAATGTTCTCAGTGTTGGAGGCTGTCAACTCTCATAGTTGTTGGACCTTTTGACATGAGTTCATCTCTCATTTTTCCTTCTGTTCTTTTGCAGGTACAATCAAAGCCCTGAGTTATAATGGCTGGGAACAATTTCACTGAGGTGGCTCTCTTTGTACTCTCTGGATTTGCAGATCATCCTGAATTAAATGTCAGTCTTTTCTTAATATTTCTCTTCATTTATCTATTCACTGTCTTGGGTAACCTTGGACTGATCATGCTAATCAGAACTGACTCTCAGCTGCACACACCTATGTACTTCTTCCTTAGCAATCTAGCATTCATTGACATATTTTATTCCTCTACTGTAACACCCAAGGCGCTGGTAAATTTCCAATCCAAACAGAAATCCATCTCCTTTCTCGGTTGCTTTGTACAAATGTATTTTTTTGTTGGTTTGGTGTGCAGTGAATGTTTTCTTCTTGGATCGATGGCTTATGATCGTTACGTAGCTATCTGCAATCCTTTATTGTATGTGGTAGTCGTGTCCCAGAAAGTGTGCATCTGGCTAGGAGCAATGCCCTACGCTATTGGTTTCACAAACTCACTGATATCTGTCTGCATGATCAGCAGTTTGGACTTCTGTGAATCCAGCATCAATCACTTTTTCTGTGACACCACAGCTCTTCTGGCGCTGTCCTGTAGAGATGCATTTGGCACGGAACTGGTGATTTTTATTTTAGCAGGATTCACTCTTCTTAGTTCTCTCCTCATCATTACAGTGACTTATGTCAGCATCATCTCAGCCATCCTGAGGATACAGTCTGCAGCAGGCAGGTGGAAGGCCTTCTCCACCTGTGCCTCCCACCTCACAGGTGTAACTATCTTCTATGGGTCCCTGATTTTCACATATTTGCAGCCTGACAACACATCATCCCTGACCCAGGCGCAGGTGGCATCTGTGTTCTACACTATTGTCGTTCCAATGCTGAATCCTTTGATCTATAGTCTGAGGAACAAAGATGTGAAAAATGCTCTCCTGAGGGTCGTGCATGAAAGACTTTTCCCTCAACAGATATTGCATGCTGCAGTTTAAACTGTAAATCATTGATTACTCCAATGCTTAGGAAAGTGGTGGCTTCAAACCATGTAACACAAACTCAATGAGAATGTAGAATGTAGAGTCTTAAAATGTGGGATGTGAATTATTCAATTTGTTCATGTGGACCACTGAGTCACTGCACTGGGATGTCACTTCAGCAAATACATTTTACAAAGAGGTAAAGATGTACATATGTAAGCCTGCCATCTCACTGAAAGATGTTTAAAAAAGGCGAAATTGACCTTAATATGGTTAAACCTTCTGTTTTCTTGAGTATTTGTAAGAGAAGAAAAGTGAAAGATTAAGCCATATGAACCTGAGAGTTATTAGGAATCCAAAATAGGATCTCATCACCCCTTACCCAAGAGTAGATGAAATAGTACAGAACTTTAAAAAAAAATAAAAGATGAAATAAAGATTGAAATTATTTCCTTGCAGTCACCAATGTAGATAACATAAATTAGCAAGTAAATCAGAGCAAAGTCTCAATCTTGTGGAGTCGTTTGGTCATAAGAGATAAAAGTTTTATCATTTATCTGTGAGACACAATTTTTAATGACAGTATGTAGCATTAAAAAAAGAAAAAGCTGTGTGTATATGTGTGAGTGTGTGTGTGTACATATGCATGTTTTATTTTTCTTTTGTTCTATTTAGTTTATTTATTTATTTTAATTTGTTTTGTTTTCTTATCTGTTTACATTCTGAGGTATGATTCTTGCAAACTAAACTTTGTAATGTAATATATTGCATTATAAACTGTTAGAAGCAACAACTTAGAAACATTCTGCTGCAATTTTTTTGGTATGCATAAGTCTACTTCATGAATCATTTCCTCTTTTAATGCTACATAAATCTATTTCCCCTAATTGTAGTTTCTGATTAAGATTACTTGTTATGGAGATTTTCTATCATGATCTTTTGGAAATATTTGATGGATGACATTTTACTTTTTTAAAATTTTGCTACCTGGATATTTATTCATGCATTCAAAATAGAATGATCAATTTTTTTATGTATATGAAAACTCTTAGCTTTGATACCTTATTATATTTTCCTGATTTTAATTGTATTTAATTTATTTTCAATCATATCGAATGTGTAATTATTCCATAAATAGTTGCAAATATCAGTATTTATATATTGAAATTGAATAAGTTATGTATCTAATAACCTTGTTTATCTAATTTTTCATTAATAAGCTTTGCATCTAATTATTCTGTTTCATGTTATTGATAATTTATTGCCAGTACATATCAGGGAGGCAATAACATTCTAGACTATTTTTATTAACTCATCAAACAAGACAGCAGTCTATTTTATTTTCCCAAAGTTATGCTGAAATATTAATTATACTTTGATTCAATATGATCTTCACCTGAGTCCCTGGAACACATCAACCACTCTCTCCTCCAGGCCCCTTCTCTGCTCCTCCTCTCTCTGCTTGCTGCACAGTGCATCTCTTTCCAGCGGATGTCTTACCTCTTCTTCAGTCTATCTTCTTCATTCTCCCAGCCCCAACATGGTCTGCCTGCTGTGGTCTCTCCTCTATCAAAAGACTAAGATCAGCAGTCTTTGGGACTAGTCCAGCCCCCAGCAGTAACATGGGGTGTGAAATTTGTGAGATATCCTCTTTTCTTAATAAGCTGGGGCAGGGGTGAGGAACTTCTCACCTTTAAAATATTTGTGATGTGTCCTTAGTTTCTGCCCCTTCTGTTGGGTGCGAGATGCCCTTGTAATGTTTGTGCTAACTACTTGTCTTTTTGGAGTTTGTGTTCTATTTCACCACCTTTAAAATAACTTTACTATCATTTTTGTAAATGTTATCTTACATTGAGAAACATTTCAGGAATTCTGGAAGAAATAAACTAGATAATGAAAATAAAAATCAACAATAAAAATCAATTTCAGGAATTTGATTCTGATATATAGATTCAGAAACCTTTTTACACCTGTGTACAAACACTAAAGATCTATTAAAAATGAATTCCAGATTAATACCACTTAATTGGGGAAAGTTTTGTAGAATAAATTAAGATTTTGCTCAGGACATTTGTCTCAGAATATGGGGGACAAGGAGAATGTGGGCAGGACTCTCTAAAAATAGCTAAAGAAAGCAGCTAAAGTAAAAAAAAAAAGTGTACTTCAAAATTGAAAATGCCGTAAGTCTCTTAGTATTATGAGATGTAAATACCTTTAAACGTATAATGAAATGTAATTACCCTAGTGAAAAAAATTGTATTTATTTTTGTAATAAATTTCCCTGAAAAGCCTAAAGTGATTAGTGATTCAAAATACAAACCACTGAAATATCCCTGAAAATTATTTTTAGAGAGAAAGCTCAAAGTCTCCAAGTACTGCTTCCTCTTTTATCTTAATTTTTATAGTATTTACCACTATCAGATAATTCATATAGTTCCTCCCTTAGTCTTTTTCATCACTATCAAAGAATGACCCTCTTGCTACAGAATCTTCCTTGTTGGTCTTCAAATGACACAACCATCTTCTGCACAGGCCTTTGCCCTGATTTCCTCCCACCGGTAACACTTTCTTCCAATGTGCATGTGTGTACATGATTTCTCATTTTTTTTTTAAATCTCACTCCCAAACCCCCATCTTCTAGGCTGTTTCACATATTACTTCTTTATTTATTTATAATACATTTCATCGTCTTATATGTTTTATCCCTTATTTGTGTAATTTTTGTTTCCTCCTACTGAGGATTTAGAATCTATGAGCAACATAATTGATAACACCACAGGTCCATATCAGCATTTGAATCATTCTTTCCAAGAATCTATGTGCTATTTATAACAGGTGATTACAAGTAATCCATAAATTTCAATAAATTTGCAAAAACTAATTTAAAGAGGTCATATATTCTGACCACACAGAAACAGAATTTTAAATTAATCTTTTAAAAATACCAAAATACATTCCAACCAAAATATTTAAAAAATTTAAATCACAATTTTAAAGTATTCTTAGTCAAATTAAAAATTTTAAATTCATCTTTAGAATCTCTATATAACATACTAGAATAAAAATAATCCAGATCAGGGCATACAAGTCAAAAGAAAAATGGCACTCAGATCATTGGCAGTTATTAAATTATATCATTATTAAACATATTAAAAGTAAGGTAAATAATTACTACTAGAGTCTAGAGAAAGAATATTGAATTCAACATAGTAGAGAAAATAGAGTAATAACATTCAAATAAACATTAATTAGAAATGTGAATAAATGAACATTGTTTCTCAAAAATGGAGGGAGAGTTAACAGAAAAAAATAGTATCAATGTACTCATAGTAGATAAATTCTAAATTATAAGGTGACAGATATTCTAATTACCCTGAGTTGGTCACTAGTCATCTTGTACATGAACTAAAACATCATACTATATTTCATAAATATATACAAATATTATGTGTCATTCAGAAAACAAAAGAAAATGAAGAAAAAAAGGTCATTCTCTTCTCTATTGGTCCAAAGAAGAAAGAAAAAAATAAAAATAAGAATAGGAATAATTTAGGGGGAAGTAGGTGGAGAGGAAAAAAATGGGGAGAGAGAAAAAAATACATGTGCTTTAAAATGGGATGAGCTAGGAATTAAATGATACCATTGTTTAAAAGGCAAGAGATTTAAAAATCTATCTCAGACTTCTGCTACACACAACTGATACAGGAGTCACCCACCCGTCACAAATAGCTCTAAACTGATCCCAATGAGTTTCAGTGTTAAGAAAACCTTACACAAGAAAACCATGCTCAGGGAGATTTTGTGATCACTGTGCCTACTGGGGAAACATCCACACAGAAAACCACCCTTTGTCTCTAATCTGTTACATAATTTGATATGGGCTTTTAAATCTACAAATTAGCCTGTCTCAGAATCAGGTAAAATTTTGATGAATATAGCTGCCCTTCCAAAAGTTCTTTAAAGAGGCAATATATACAAAAATATACTCTTTATCCATATAAATTATCATCTGAATTTCTGAGGTGCAAACACCCTTTCCAAAAAGTTACTTTTTGCCACATTTTTAGTTAGTGCATTGTAATTGTACATAATGGTTGCATTTGTTTTTACATATTCATACATACACACAATATAACAATATAATTTGGCCAATATTACACCCCAGCACTTCTCTCTCCCTCCTCTCTTCCCACACCATGTTCCCCTTCCTCTGTTCTACTGATCTCTCTTTGTTTTTAATGCATGTGATCACCCCCTCCCAACTTTCTTTTCCTTTTTTTTCCTCTCCAGCTTCTACATATATAAACACAACAATAACAACAAAATATGACCCTTGACAATCGAGTTTGGCTTATTCCATTCAACATATTGGTCTCAATTTCCATCCATTTTCCTGAAATTTCATTTTTCTTTATGGGTGAATAAAATTCCACTCTTTCTATATACCACATTTTCTTTATGCATTTATCTGATGATATACACCAAAGCTGGTTCTATAGTTTGACAATTGTAAATTGTGCTGCTTTAAACATTGGTATTCATGTATTGCTGTAGTAAGATGTCCTTTATTCTTTAGGATGAATATGAAGAAATGGTATAGATGGGTCATATAGTGTTTCCATGCCTAGTATTTTGAGAAACCTCCATTGTGATTTCCATATGGTTGTACTAATTTATGTCCCACCAATAGGTTAAAAATATTTCTCTTTCTCCACATTTTCTCCTTTGTTTATTATAATTTGTATTCTTGAGGACTGTCATTATGACAGGTTGATGAAATTTCAGTGTTACTTTGACTTGTATTTCCTTAATTGTTGATGATGTTGGTGAGTTTTTTTTTTCCTATATTTGTTGGCTATTTATATTTCTTATTTTGAGAAGACTCTATTTAGTTAATTTTTCCATTTATTAATTGTATATGTTTCTGGTGTTTTGAGTTCTTTATTCCAGATATTAATCATCTCTCAGACCAGTGGTTAGAGAAGATTTTCTCCCATTCTCCAGGTTCTCTCTTA